GAGTGGGTTTGGCGCACAAAGAAGGCACAAAGGATCGGAGTAGAAAAGAGTCCGTTCGGCATTTTGGAAGTGCCTTCCTCCCGCAGAATATCCTTCCTATCCAAAAGAAAACGACAGCAAAGATTGGAARACATACGGGACGATTTGGAAGGAGACGAGTGGGTCGAAGCTACGAAAAGATACCACGCAGAACTGTCGGAGCAAAGGCAGTCCATCCTGCGGCAGAAGGAAGAGGACAGGAAAGCCATAGAGAAAGAATTGGAGAAGTACAGGAAAACATTGGATAGAATTTCCAGAAGGACAGACAATCTGTGTAGATTATTCTTTGGAGAGGAAAGCCCGTTTGGCCCAGAGACGCTTAGGGCCAAAGTGCATAGGATGGACCAAATACCTGCAGGAGACTACAAGATACTAGGATATGCGATCCCCAGAGACTTGGATGCCAACTGGTTGGCAAGAGGGCACCGCGTAGTATTGCGAAGGAATAGGGAAACTTCTGTAGCATGGGCCACAGAAGCCCTATTGGAAGCGTGTGCGGCTGGAAAGTTCGAAGCCAACGGCAACATACGCACTGCCATACCCGGAGAAGAAATATTGGTGGAGTGGCAGAACAATGTAGCAACTGTCTTCGTGCCGGAAGGACCTGGTTTGGATACGTACTACGAATTGGCTAGGAAAATAGACCCTCCCAAAAATCCAGAAAGACTACTGGAAGTGCCGGCGCCACCCAACAAAGAATGCGTGCAGGCGCTACATATGCATCCAGGCGAATACCAATGCTGGAGATACGCCAAAACCACCTACAGAAAAAAAGAAAGGACAATCCTATTCCTTTCCGAGAAATGCTCGGAGTGCGTTTTGGAGGGCTGCACGATAGAACATGCAACCACTCCGGTCTGGGGACACTTCTTGGACGAGCAAAAGATAGACTGGACGTCTCCACCACCGCTATACTGCAAAATAGGTAGGGAAAAGACTACCAAGGCAAAGAAGAAAGACAGACTGGTGCACGTCTCTACTCCGAAATCCTAGGCCTGCAAAGGGCGTTCGCCTCTACTCCATCTCCGGAATCCTAGAATTTCTCTGCGGTTTCGTATCCTCCGCTGGATGTCTGTAGTAGACAACTTTGGGTGGTTGCATGCGCGCCCAAACGACAGCAGCAATGCCTGCGACTGCAAATAGTACATTGCCGCCTATTTGCCAGTCTATTTTTGTGGATACTTCCTCCACTTCGCCCTCTATTTCTTCGAAGGAATCCTCTTCGGGTTCCTCTTTTTGTTCCATTTTAGCTAGCAATTCCTCCTTTGCGTCTCGGAGTTCTTCTCTAGCTTTTTGGAGATCGTCCAAGACTATAGCAAAGGAATCCTGCACTTCTAGGAAATGTTTCTGCAGGTCKGTAGTTGGTGGCTTTTCGGGGATTGCTACCTCCARACCATTCTCTCGCTCTATCCTACGAATCTTTGGTATGCCTATGCCGTACTTTTTAGCTACCTTTGGCAGCCCTACTCCATTTCTCCTATCTTCCAACAATCCTGCGATTTCTTCCTCGGATAGTATTTTGGGCGTTGCCATATATATCTACGAATACGGTTCGAACATAGCTAGGTACCTATGGATCCATAGGGGTATTCCGTGGATCCATAGGTATATAGATGTATCTCTACATAGCTCTAGGCATAGCCAGCTACGTGCTAGGAAAACAAAGGACAACGCAAATACTTTTGGAGATCTTGGAAGGCCTCTACAGACTTCGCATACCGGGCTACGTAGCAACTTTGGCGCAGCTACCGCGGCGTAGATAGTACAAGGGAGGTGAATCGCCGCCCTTGCTACGAGGACTCGTTTTGGGAATTGCTACCATGGAGAGGCATTTCGCCTCCACCTACTTCCCTACGGACATTTCTGGTGCTTGCTACCAGCGCAGTGGACACAAAAAAATACTACTTTGTGCCTACGAGGAATGCCTGTGTGGGAGTAGAAAAGGTAGCCGAAAATGGTTGCCGAAACAATGGGCAAAAATATACTCTTCTAAATACAAACAAGTTTCGCTTACCTGACGCCCGGATAGGATTACGACCCCTCTCTATCACCCAATCGCCATCTAGATACTTTATGAACGTCAATTCAAGACGGTAGTCACCTTCCGGCATTAAGTCGATTATTCTTTCAGCTCTTTCTTCGTCCATAATTTCTTCTATGTCTCCTTCTGTAAATGTCGTGAAGGCGAAGTCGGCATCCAAACGATCNAAGTCGATTATTCTTTCAGCTCTTTCTTCGTCCATAATTTCTTCTATGTCTCCTTCTGTAAATGTCGTGAAGGCGAAGTCGGCATCCAAACGATCCAACACTTGAGTTCGTAACCTACGTACAGTTCTATTTCGAATGCTCGTGATGTTGTCCATCTATATCTAGGAAATATTTTAACCTTCGTTTGCGATAGCAGCAGTAAGGCGCTCCTCGTTGCTGTCGCCGGATCGCGCAAGGGGGTCCCAAGCCCCAGTAATACCCGTGAAATTCCAGGTGCATTGCCGACGCTCCGCGAGTCCGCCTTACTGCTGCTCCCTGGGTTATCCCTACCCCAACTTACATCAGCCCAGAGGTTGTTTCAGGGTTTGATCTGTAAGTTAGCCATGCCCTGACTTAGATCAGACCAGAGGTTGTTTCAGGGTTTGATCTGTGAGTTAGCCATGCCCTGACTTAGATCAGCCCAGAGGTTGATTCAGGGTTTGGTTTTTAGCATCAAGATTTTTATTCGTTCCCTAAAATAAAATAACATCGACCTGAAATAACTTACTCTCCAGTTGAATCTTGTTAATATTCTTGCTCTCTGAATCAATATATTCTGATATTTCCTTCGCTTCCTCTTGCAGGTCACAAACTTCTCTGTCAGCTTCGCTGCAGCAATTATCAGAAGCAACGACGTAGATCGTTGTTGCCATGGAAACCAAGCTAGTCACATCCTTGAAGTATTTCGAAGTGAACTCAAGTGCCTCGAACAAATGTTTTCCGAGCCGTAGGAGTGCTAAAAAACATTAAAATATTATTTTCCTATTTGTGTGTGTGTGTGTGTGTGTGTGTGTGTGTGTGTGTGTGTGTGTGTTCATATATATGTAGAAATGACGTCACTACAAAGCGGGTGGTCATGAAGCCTGTGAAAATCGACAAACGAAAAATAAAAACATGTCTGCCTTCCATTGCAATAAGAATATATATAATGCATTTGTTATTGTGTAACTGTTAATAACTCCTTATTAGAAAGGTTTTTTTTTTCCATTTGATGGCCTGGAAATCCATAATTTCAAGAGGGAAAGTGTGACGTCTAAGTAAAAGCCCGTACACAGGCGATTTTTTCGGCCCGATCTGAAGCGCGCTTTCCACTGCGAATCTTGCGGCGATTCACGTGCGATCATAAATCGTTCGTGTAAACTACCGGCGATTTTGTGGAGATTTGATAAATTAACGTCGCCGATGAATCACCACTATTTTGAACATGTTCTAATTTAGTGCGATATTTTGGCGGTTTTTTCTGCAAGGATCGCAGTGGAAATCACGCTGTAAATCGCCGAAGAATTCGCCTGAGATTGTTGCACGAATTAAGTAAATTTAAATCGGAAATTTCCAAAGTCGAATTTGATATTGGCTGTTGTACCTTTTGTAGAGGATAATTCTATTTTAATTTTATTTTACATATATACATATATTTATTTCATTGTTTACATCCATATTTTTATATTAGCATCATGTAATTTTAATTTTTAGTTTAGGTTATTTATAACTTGGAGATATTAGCATGTACTTGCTATCTTGTAATTCAAGTATAAATAAAGTTATTGTTGTTGTTGTTGTTGTGTAAACGCGGGCCTTAACGCATCAGTTTTACAAAAGTTCTCAATTTTGATCAATTATAAAATTTTGCAAACTTGGAGCCTAGGAGGATCTTGGAGGTCGTATGTGTACCCTAGCTTGATTTCTTGTTTCAGACAGTAGAAATAGTGACACTACTTTAAGGACTTATTATGACATGTTTTGACTTAAAAACTGCTAGTTGATGTATTACGACTGAATACTTACATGATGCCGTTCGTCTCTCCCTTACAATATCATTATAGGTTCCTTTCGCTCCATGTTTGTTGAAACTATATCCATCATGTGACAGGACACGATGGAAGTGAGCAGGTCCAAACTCGTTCAAAAACAGCAGAACACACAGGTAGACTACTAATCGAGAATTGCCCCGCATATTTTGGATCTGAGCCAAGAAAAAAAAAGTTTTGGGAATTCGTGTTACGTCTTAGCCGCCATTTTGGTTGACGATAGCAAAGCACCACTCATTAAAATCTCTCTTGTTAGATCAGTCAACATGGCGGTTGTTTGATTGTTATTTATATATCAAGGGATTTTGAGTCGTTGGTCTTGACCCCAAGAATGCAACACAGTTTCGCATTCAATGCATACCGCTGTTTTTGAAGACCACATACTCATTTGCACAGACTTAGCCTCATTTATAAGTCAGCTATTCACAGATACCATGACAAAAAGCCATGGGATTTCAAGACATTTTGGTATTTTTCAAATAAATAAAATACTACCTTACCAAATAACAATATATTATCATTTCAACACTCTGCAGTCGGATAGTTTGCCCAAGCAATGTGGAATGCAAGGCCGCTTAAGATCAATATATTTTTTTTAGCAAAACATTTTATTTCTATAATAATTCCTATTTAAATTTTTTGTGTTAAAAAATTATTCCGTTCTTACAATTAGGTGTATAAAAATTCAAGAAATAAGAAAAACATAAACTAAACGGAAAGAAATGCCTGAAGAAATCTGATATTTATAGAAAATGTTTAAAAAAATAGAGATGAACAAGATCATACCAACTATTAAAATGATAGTTCTGATCCCAAGCCACATAAATATAAATAACAATAAATAAACAAAAAAACCCATAGATATACTAAACATTCTGCTTTTGTAATGATATAGTTTTACCTTCGATTGTTAAAGCTTGATGGCGAGTCGTCTCTGGATGTCAGAGTTATCCGAAAGACCAATTAATAAAGACAGAGAGAAGGAATGTGTTATCAATAATAAATAGCAAGCAATAATAGAGTAATTCGTACTTGTTAGAATTAGACAATACCTGTTCTTTTTTTTAATTAAGAAACAAATTAATCTGGGAGGAGTCGGTATTTCTAAAGAACATTGCATTCCTTTTCTTTATTAATTTTATAGGATATTTGAAAAGAAGAAGAAAAAAATCAGTTTAGAGCGAAGGGTCGCAAAAGAAGAGAGACATGCTGTATGATAGCGAGAATGCATGGAAAACTTATGCTACCGAGTGGGAAATGTATGGTACTGACTTACAGCACGTTCACGGTACGAAACACCATAACATTGAGTTGGCTTCCCATGAGAATGGTTATCTTTTGAGCGGAAAACATGCGGTACTGACTTACAGCACGTACACACGGTATGAAACACCATAACATTGAGATGGCTTCCCATGAGAATAGTTATCTTTTGAGCGGAAAACATGCGGTACTGACTTACATCACACACACGGTACGAAACACCATAACATCGAGATGGCTTCACATGAGAATGGTTATCTTTTGAGCGGAAAACATGCGGTACTGACTTACAGCACGTACACGGTACGAAACACCATAACATCGAGATGGCTTCCCATNCATGAGAATGGTTATCTTTTGAGCGGAAAACATGCGGTACTGACTTACAGCACGTACACGGTACGAAACACCATAACATCGAGATGGCTTCCCATGAGAATGGTTATCTTTTGAGCGGAAAACAAGCGGTACTGACTTACAGCACGTACACACGGTATGAAACACCATAACATCGAGATGGCTTCACATGAGAATGGTTGTCGTTTGAGCGGAAAATATGCGCTACGTACTGACTTTACAGCACACACATGGTACGACATGCCGTAACATTGAAATTGCAAAAATCATGTTCTAAATTCCAATTGGATTCTGCGGAATCCACCTTTAATCCCATTAATACAGTGAGTATATGGTATTAAGGACGTTCATGGGATACCATCGTCAGAGTTTTTTAATTTTATTTTGCATAATGAAAGAAGATCATAATAGAAGTAAAATAAGCAAATAAATAATCGTTTGGCCGTCAGAGTACGTGGAAGTTTGCCCTTTTTACGGTAAAAACTTGCGAACAGCATGAACATGGAAAGCTGTCAAAAAAAGTCATATTTGATTTTACTGGAAAAAAAACAAATTGCAAAAGAAGTCCCTGACTTCGTCTAGCCGTCAGAATACGTGGAAGTTCACCCTTTTTAAGCGCGAAGAACGTAAGCATGGAAAGCTGTCAAAAATAAGTCATATTTTACTGAAAAAATAAATTGGTCGTCGCCATTTTTCACAGAATTCTAGAAAATAACCAACGACTAGTTAGCATTTAAAAGTTGTATTAAAAATTAAAAATAGAGTGACCACAGTAAATCCGTGAAACTTTAGTGATACTAAATAGCACAATTTCATGCAAATTCCATTGTTTTCTATTGTTTAACTATTTTGTACTATTTAGTAATTAGTGTTTCACGGATTTACTATGGTCACTCTATAAAATTTATTGTGATATAAGTGTGGACTTGAAGCCTTCAAATTACGCGAAATTTTATTCCAATTATCACACTAAATATGTAATTTTGATTTGATCCCATCGTCAGTTTTTTCTCCTCCACAGTTAGGGGATACCGAGTACTTAAAACAAAACA